CATTCGCCGCCTATAGTTGCAGTCCATTAGTATCAGAATCTCACACAAGTATTAAAAGTTTTATTAAAATTAATACTAATTGTATGGAACTATAGGCGGTGACAATCGGGATAATTGAAAATACAAACCGATTACTATTGCAGAGTGTAATGGCCGGCAGTTCTAACTGATCCATAGTCTCGACGTATACTAAGACAATACTTGGGAACGAGAAGAATAGATTGAGAATCGAAATGCATTGCCAGCCACAGCCTAAAGCGCAGCCGATTATAACCATCAGCTTAAACACATAGTGCCAGCAGTGGTGAGAATTATCTTCTCCTGAGTTGTCAACACTTTTTCTTTGATGCGATGAATGATTTGCATTAAATCTATGGTTATTGTAGTCTATCATGAAATCATTAAACGACGAACGGCTATGAGTTTGATTTTTTGGGTAATTAGAAAACATTTCGTATATTATATAAAACAATAATTAAATTAGGCTGGAATACAGAACTGAATTAAATCATCTATTTTTATTAGTATGTTGTATGTATTTGTGGTATTTAAAGCTAAAATATGTAGTTTCACTTTCGACAATATCAAAAACAAAACTAAAGTTATTCTTGTAATACACGTGAAATGCATTTGAGAAATGATTTATAGTTCTTATAGAAAATGACAATTCAAATGACCATCACTTCGTTATTATATCAAATTATTATAAAATTCTTATGAATATTTGCATTCTTGTTCATAAAGTAACTCATTTCAGTGTACTCTTGGCTGTGGTCTGTTTGCAATGAATAATATTTGGCATTTTGTCCAATAATTGATATAATATATGATGATATTTATCAATATAAATATTATATCAAATCATTAACTTATTTTCGGATCTATAAAAATTGATTTTCTTCTTAAGTGGTTAGCAAACAAAATATCATGAATTGTTTACAAAACAGTGATTTCTCTAATAAATGAGATTTCATATCATATGACAATAACTTGGTTATTAGTTATTGTAATATTCTACAGTATATATTGCATTGATATACTGTATTATATTGTAAAAATAATTTAGTTAAGTTTGATTATAATTCAATTTTATTAAAAATATATATTATTAAACAATACATTCAATAAACTAATTATATAATGATTTTAAAGAATAATGAATATAAATGTTAGGCACAATATAAAGACTATTAGGCACTCGAAAGGCAGTCAATTGTATTTTGTTTTACTGAAGCAAAAACAAAATTATCTCAAAATTGTAATAATTAAAAATACATAAATTAATTA